TGTCTTATTTATTTAAATCCATGTATTTTCTGGTCTCTTCAATAACCACCAAATGCAATCCACACTGATCCAGCAGAACATTTGGTATACTGCATGGCACCAGGGAAGCACTCAACTGAAATGTATCCCTATGAAAAGGATTGAACATGTTCTGCTCATAGTGGTGCAATGTCCAAAAGTATATTATAAGCCATCAATTTCAGCCTCCAGGTCAACAGTTCTCAGCTCTACTGCCCATTAGAATCACCTGGGATGCATTTGAAAATATGTATTTATTTTTTATAAGCACTCATGAAGACTCAGCAACTCAAGGTAGAAAAGGATTTCAGTCAAGTCCAGTCTCCTTGTCCTCAGCCAGGAAAACAGAAGTCCCATTTTACAGCTGGAGCACTTGAGACCCACAGTGGTTAGGTGGCTTGCCTGAGGCCCCACACATAATTACCCAGAGTCTGGAAAGTAGAATCCATGTTTCCTGCCTGCAAGAGTAACGCTTTGCCTTAGCATCACACAAGCAGGACAAGAGGGTTTCAGAGGAAGCCTCTCCATCCCAGGCAGCCCCACTCTATCAAGCAGTTTCTCTACAAAAATGAGAAAGCCACAATGTTACTGAGTATTTCATAAAGCTGAAAAATATGTTAATGATCATAACCAATTAGCCAACCTTGGTTTCTTTGGCTCAAAGTGAGAAATTGGTGGACATCTTCATTTAGTGGGAAACGAGCCACTTTAGAAAGAAGTTAGAAGGACAGAAACCTAATATCTTTACTTTGTAATGAGAAAGTTTAAAAGCAAAAATTTACAGCACTTCTAAGTGTATTAAATGTCCAGATATTTAGCTAATAAGTGTGGACAGCCCTGGTCCTTTTTTGTTCCTCACAACAGAACAGATTTGCAGCTTTGAATCAGAAGAGAGCTTTCAAAACCTCTGACTCATAAACTTTTGGGCTGTAGAGGGGGACATGGTTGGTTTTTCATTTAGTTAATATAGGGAGAAGAAGTAAAGTGTCCACCTTGAAACTCATCAGCTCTTTTACCGATTAATCTGTGCGCTTAGTAGATGTGTGTCACTTATTTCACCTCCCCCTGTGCACGTAAATTCGTGAATATCTTTTGCATCCTAATTGTCCTAATCAACAAGAACCACTGCATCAATAGATAAACTTAGTAAGAAGTAAAGGTGTTTATTAGGCTTATTAAGTAAGCAAAGGTTATAACACAGATTAGAAATATTAGAAGCAGTCCACAGACCGAAATTACTTCTTATTGTAAGTTCATCTGAATTTATGCAGGAGATAGAGTTCCAAAAATTATATGTATATTACAAGTTTTTCTTATCTTTAACTGAACTTTTAACTGTCCTCAAAAAGTTGGCTATTTAGTGGAAGCTTGGAGAAAGTATAGAGTTCTATGTCAATGAGAATTTTGAGACCTTAATTTATCTATTTGGTGAATCTCTGCTCCGTTCAAGTTGTCTGAGAGTAAACATTCATGCCATAATAATTTGATAATAAGTATTTCCTGTTCTTAAGATGCCTCCTTGAGCACTACAGCAAAGAAACACCAAGACCAAGTCTATGGGGCATCAAGACAAACAAGTCAATTCAAAGAAAATCAGTCAAGCAGGCCTTCTCTTCTCATGTAGATCTCTCTCTAACATAAATAACAATAAAAAGCAGTTGTTCAATTCATTCATTTTCTAACAAGTGGTGTGAGTTTATTATACACAGTTCCACTGCTTTTAAGGAAGAAGTCAACCAAGTCAAATTTCGGCATCGTGCAAATCATGTAATCAGTTGACTGCAAGCTTTGTCTCACATTGGTGCTGGCATTGTGCAAGTCCATGATACCCAGTGACTTAGGGAAGTAAACATCCTAAGTACTACCCAAATCATCTTAAACCAGAGGTTGGCAAACCTTGTCTGTAAAGGGCCAGATAGTAATATTGTTTGCAGGCCATATGGTCTCTGTGGCACCTACTCAACTCTTCCATTGTAGCAGAAGCAGCCCTAGACAATATGTAAATGAACAGACATGGCCATGTCCCAATCAATTTTTATTTATGAAAACAGGCGGTGGGACTGATTTGGCACTCAGGCCATAGTTGGCAGACCTCTGATTTAGACCCTTGGAAAACTGTATGTAAGGACCTATCGTTCAAAAATATTTTGATGTGCCTTTTTAACTATGCTAATCAAAGTGTGGGAAATGATTAGAAAGGATTTGGCATAGCCCTAATCACTCGAGATGGGCCCACAAAAGGTGTCCCAGGAGGGAAGGTGCTCTCTTACCACTGTCATTAATTCTCAGGAGACATGATGACACTTTCCCCATTCTCTACTTTAGTTCTGACAAAAACCTTGTAAGGCAGGCATTAGAACCCCCATTTTCCAGATTTGTAAGAATGCGAAAAGGTTAAATAATTAAGCTGCAGAGCCAACTTTCAAACCCAGGCCTGTCTCACTCCATCGTGCCTGCTATGGGCACCGTTACTAGTTGGCCTTAACAAGGGCTTCTTGCTGGGGTGGATGTCAGTTCTTCACATCTACGCGGCACCTGCTGGACCAAGTGCAGAACCGCAGCGGGGCGGGGAGGGGTGGTGGCAGTGGGTGGATCTGCAGGGAGCATGACTTCTTTGTCCAACTGGCCGGTCAAGCAAATCTCCAATTCATGGTTGTGACTTGAAGATTTCTACCTCTGTGTGCTCCCAGTTCTGAGCTGATCTGAACCAAAGCCCATGTTCACATTTAGTCCACAAACAGGGGTCACGGGCCAGGTAGGGAGGAGGCAACATCTACAAAGTGAATGTTTTCTTAACCCTTTCCAGAACCCCATAGTACAGTCATTTCAGCTCAGGCCTCAAGGGTGTTTTCTGAAAAAAGAAAGTGCCTTTTCAGCGCTCTTGGTGCCTGATTTCAAATTCTGACCTTCCATCAGGTGATTCTAAGTGGGCTGACAATGCTGCCCTGTTTTTACTGGTTTTCCCACAGGGTTTAGTCACCCACGTGCCCTCAGTGCCTTAGACAGGGCCTCACTTAGGGTAAGGGGATGGGCCCAGTACCCAGGGCCTTTCCTAATTTCCTTTAAGATGCCAAAGAGCAATTAAAAAGAATTTTGATTATGTGCATCTGAACAGGTAGAATCGTTCACCCCAGTTTTTCCACTGATGAATTTACAACGTGGCCTCCCTGAGGATGGAGTTTTGCTGCACCTGACTGACCTCCAGGGAGTGAGCAGGAAACGTGCCTCTAGCATCCCCTTTAAAAAACAATTGTTAATCTCTTAGGTGGAGCTAAAGAAGAAAAAATGCCGTGTGTAACAAAGAGGGGGAAATATGGCAGCTCATGTGTGCAAGGAAGCAACCCATATCTCAGGCACTGAAGCAGAACCAGAGCAATCAACATCATCTCGGTGGCATCTCATCTTACTAAGGGTATCTCTGTGGAATGGGTATCATTTTTACCCCATTTTACATATAAGAAACCTGAGGATTAAAGAAAGAAGAAAGTGACTTTCTCTGCGTAGGTAGGAATAAAGGCAGAAGTCCCTCCAGGGGCTTACATAAAATCCACAGATCGGGCTCTAAGTGTCGGGGTCCGGGCATATGGACACTCAGCAGCTCCCAGTAGGGACATTAATGCCCACCTACCACCATTAATGCACTCCCACAGGGCCGGCTGCCTTTGCCCCCACAGGGGAGGGTCTTGCTCTATCCTGCTCCTGGGAGCGGTGGCCACCACCCATACTAGAATATCCCTAGTTACCTTGGAAGGATTCCATAACTCTCAAATGCAAATTAGAATTCACTTCTTTCATTGAAGAAAAAAACTGCATCTTGCCAACATCGAACAATGATGAGACTTCACAATCTGAGAAATTTTGAAATCATTCCTTCACATTACACATTAACAAGCTCAGTTGCAAAGAATTTACACAAGAAATAAAGGAAACAATGAACTGCTGATAAGTGACTGTAAGTTATGACTTAATCAATGATGGTATATTTTCAGAACTGTAAGGTCTCCATTAGAATATCTTTTGTAAAATAAATAAACACTCCCTAATGTATCTTTCTCTGTAAATCTAGTTTCTCTTATATTAAGTTTGTTTGAGGTAGGGTGTACCTGAATTCATTAAAGGGCATTTTAAAGACCTAAGCACCTTTAAAAAGACAGAGAAATTTTTTGGTACTACTTCTTTCTTGAGGAAGTACAGAACTGAGCCCCAGGAAGGTTCAACTCTCATGAGGCCATTGAGTTGACTTTGTTTTTCTGAGAAAGGAATGTTGTTGATAATCTCTGTGTGATTTCAATTATTAATAACACGAGTCTCTGTTCAGTCCCACATATGGAAAATAAAGTTCACAGATGTTCCATCCAACTCCAGGGATAAACATTAAGGTTAGAGGTAAACCCGCGCCCCATTGCGCGGGGACACACGAGCCTTGCCACAAGAGGGGAAGAAGAATGACAGGAGAAAGACAGCAAAGCAGGTGAGGACAGGCTTGACAAGCCAAGTTTCCACATCGTCCCGATGCAGTCACAGAGACACATCGTGCCTTTGTCAGAAAGCTCAGTAACTCAGAGAGAAACAGGCCCACGGAACTGAACCACAGGGCAGAGTAGCTGTTTATAAAAGTAAAGACACTCTGGTAAAGAGCTCCACGCTTTCCCCCCTAAATTGTGTTTTGTGAATCATCAGCTGCCCTTTCTTCACCACAGTGATTCATGCAGGCAGCGGAGACAGGATGAGCTGTCCCACCTTGGAACACTAGTTCGTTCCCCTCCAGCCTGGAAAATCAGCATCACCTCTGACAGGTTGGTTTCTCCACCCCGCTCCATCTTGCCTACCTCGCCCCTGCTGCTCCCCTGGCTGGGGACCGGGACCCCACTGCCGGTCCCCCCCCCGCCCGCACCCCGCACCTCCCCGGCTCCCGGATGCCTGGCGAAGCCCAGGCCCTCCCTCGCTGACTCGGCTCCGACAGCCACAGCCAAACCACTTACGTTTTTGCCAGAGCATGGCCTGCGACAGGATGTTGCCTTTTCTCTTTGAAGCAGACAGTTTGGCTTCTTTAATGTGAGACCCGGGTGTGCTTGCCTCCAGTGGAGCCACCGCCTGCTCAAGGCTGTTTCCTCGGCTTTTAAAGGCCTGAGTTCCCGCGGCGGGGGCACAGCGTCATCACATCCTCCCACCCCGGGCGCCGCCGCCGCCCCTCTTCTCCAGCGGGGCGCCCGTCACCCCCCTGCGCGCGCTCACGGGTCCACCGGCGGCCCACCCCTCCATGCGCCATGCTCGCGGCCAGCCGGCTGGATCTGCACAACCAGCCGGCCCAGGAGGCCGTGAGCCGCGGGACGCAACCCCACGGGGTGCCAGGGTGCGCGGGGCGTGGGCAAGTGTGCGTGAGTGTGAACTCCGTGAGCGTGTGTGTCCAGTCGTGCCCCCCTCCGCGCTGCGATAGGCCCTAAGACCCCCTGGAAAACTCTGGGTTTTCTGTGGCACCCATTCAGGCCTCTCCACCACCGGGGTGTCGGCAGCGCTCAGTCCGCCCTGGGCCCTGCTCGACGGGAAATGCGATTCCCAGGGGACACTGGTTCTCAACACAGGAGGAAACACCTGTAGACTCTTCAAGCCTCACTAAACAACCTCCTTGTTCTTTTAATATTGCTTTTCTGTGCATTCCATTTTGAACCAGGTTAGCGCTTCCCCTTGCCCCCCAGCTACGACCAAAATGGCCAGGCCTAATCATGCTTAAATAGGGGGAACACCGGTTCTGATGGTCCACATGCCCACGGAGAAAGAGGCCAGCTCCCTCAGCGCAGAAAGAAGACTCCCAGGCTCTTTAACTGGAGCTGGGTACTCGAAGAGAACTTGCAGACGTTATGTGAAGGAGCCTCCCTCCTAGCCGGCAGCACCTGTCCACATGAAGTGACTCGGCGGAAAAGAAATGGGGTTCACCCTCTGATAGTGTTTGGGGTGTTAGGCCATGGACTTCTTCCCAGTTTGGTTGCCTTCTGTCACTGGGTACCTGAAGTCCACATGCTCAGGCCCTAATGACCCCATCAGTCTGGGGTCAAGACCACCTGACTTGGGCCCCCTCTGGCCGGTCTGGGGCCTTGCTGCTCTGCCCTCCACACTGCCTCAGAGCCGTCTCACACAACCTAGATTGAATCATGCCATTCTCCAGCTTAAAAAGCCTTCACCTGGTCCCTTCAGCCACAGAGCTGGAGGCACAGAAGACCGCTGGCAATCTAATCCTTGTCTACCTTCCCAGGCTCGTGGCCCACTTGCGCCCACCCCTGCCACTGGTCCCCAGTGCCTTCTAAGCACCACTCTGCACCCGTGCAGCTCCTGCCTTTGACACTGCTGTCCTCTCTGTCTCGGTTCCTGTTCTCCAGTTCCTCACCCGAAAATCATCATCTCCTCATTTTTCAGGATCCTTCCAGTGGAAAATGTTCTGACCCACCAAACCTCCTCATCCAGAAAATATCCGTCCCTCTTTCCTCAGGTCCTGGAGCACTTTGTCTGTTTGTTATGTGGCAGTAAATTGTTGCATGCCGCTGTAGGCTCTGCAAGGAGGTTTCATCTTTGTCTCCCCAGTGCCAACAAAGGACCTGGAGCATATCTGTCTCTCAATAAAAGTTCATTCAAATGAAGTGATGAATTTAATGAATTACTGTCTCTAATGGGTTGTTTGTTTGAAAGGAGGTCTTGAGAAGAAATGTTGTCCACATAAACCAGCCACATAAACCAACCAAACTCACTCAAAAAACAAAGTCTATCTCCTGGCTGAGTTATGAGCCCTCAGCACAAAGCCTCTGGGCTTTAGGACATGGAGGCTCCAGTCAGTGGCCTGGCAGGTAGCAGTGCTACAAGGCCTTGGGCCACACTGAAGTGTATCCACAGAAACAGGGACACATCCATCAGGCCTGGCTCCATCGGAGGAGACATGGGTTCCCAACAAGGCTCTGGCACTCACTAGCTATGTCCCCTTAACCAAGTCACAAATCTCTTCTGAGTCTCACTTTCCTTGTTTATAAAGTGAAGAAGCAGTTCTCTGAATGTCTCACAGGCTTCTTAGGAGGATATGTGACCTCAATGGTCCTCTCTCACATTGCTCTGTAGTCTGGGCATCTGTCTTATTCTCTCCAAGTTCCATGAAATTAAGAACTTTTTTCTTATTCATCTTTGTGTCTCCTCACAGGCCTAGCATAATGATTTCCATGAAGTAATAATAACAACTTATTATGTACCAAGCTCCATGTGGAGCCTTAACTACATTATCTCGTCACCACAACTCTATGAGAAAACTTCTACCCATATTGTTCAGAAGAACAAACAGATGCTTAGGAAATTTAATTTGCCCAGTATCACAGGGCTACTAGGTGATAAGCTTGGTGTAAGACACAAGTTCATCTGACTAGAGCTGAAATTTTAAATAATTAACACAAATATATATTCGTTAAGTTGAAATCAGTGAAAGCCAAATGTGAACTATGTTTATTAGCAGAAATATAGGATCGCTAATATTAAAACCTGAAGCAGATCATTAGAAGTTTATATCCCCAGGGATAAATCCTCTGGAACGAGGGGAGGACGAGGACAAACCCGGAGGAGCTGTAAGAAATCAAATCTTGTACAGTGGCAGAGAAAAAAACGTCAGCACATCCACCGTCATGGCCAGCTTTAAACCCTGCCACTGCTGACAACCTCAAAGCTCAGGAAGCAGACTCCAACTCAGTGCCTCCAGCAAAGAAAGTGGATATCGAAGTAGATATCAATGACCACATATAGGCAGGCATTTGGGAACCAAGATTTGATCAAAAAGGCAAATATTTGCTGGGAAGACATTTTCCATAAGTCAGAATCAAAAGTCAAACTACATGGCATAGTTTGAAAGAGGACAAGGTGTCCATGTTTGTGCAATACCTCAAGAAGTTGAAGAAAAAAATTCTGTTAATGCCAACCAGATGTCTTGAAATACCAGTGTGTTCACATATTTTTAAAAATTGATATGCCAAAATCAAAGCTCCTAAAATAATTCAGTAAAGAACTCTTAGCTTTGCAAAAATGATTCACCACAGACTGCATTTCTTCATTCAACAAATATTTACTAAGTGCTCATTATGTGCCCTTGTCTATATTAGGTTATTTTTCCCTTTTAATTTGGGCTTTAATCATCCTCTTCATCCATGGCACTTTAGCATCATTGGTCCATGATGGACTCATTTATTTATTTATTTATTTGTTTGTTCATTCATTCATTTGTTCATTAATTTATTCATTAATTCACTGTCCTCCCTATCTACCGTGCTTATTCTTTTTTCTGACTCCCTTCACCTCCACCAGATACCCACCATTCCAATCAAAGCAACTATTTTCATCTGGTTGATGTCAATCTTTTGTCTGTAGACATTTGTATCTGTTCTTACACAATGTGTGTTGTTTTGCTCACATAGATTTTTAATTCACGTAAGTGGTGTTGTATTATAGAGCTCATACTGTTTCTTACTTTTTAACTCAGAACTATGTTGTAAGATCCATCCCCATTGCTAGGTATACATTCCATCTGTCACTCCTAATGGCTTGAAAGTATTCAGTGGAATGCAGCACTGCATCATGCTTAACCAGATTGTTTCCAACATCTCCCTCCACAAACAATGCATCAACATTCTGATATGCATCATTTTACAGAGGCATGTGAACATTTCCTTGGAATTATACGCCCAGAAGTAGAATTACTAGGTCAAAGGATATGCATGTATTTAAGTTGACTAAATACAACCAGGACTCCCACCAGCAGTTCCATGAGGCTTTATGTATTTCCATTTCACCACCAAACTTGGTATCATCCAGCTTTCTAATTTTTGCCAAACTAATAGATGTAGTGATATTTCATTGTGGTTTTATTTTACATTATTAATGCTAATAAATCTGGGCATCTCTTCATACGCTTCCTGACCTCCTGGATTTCCTCTTCTCTAAAATGTTTTTTCATTTCTTTGCCAATTTCTCTACTGGGGTTGCTGTCTTTTTCTTGTTGATTACCAGGAGTTATTCATATATTTTATATGTATAATTCTAGATATAATAAGTTTTACTCAATACAAATTTCTTCTCCTAATCTGCCATTTAACTTTATTCTTGGTGATCTTCTGATAAGAAGATCATATTAACAGCTGAGGAACAAGAATCATACTGATAGTACAATAGCAAAACTGGATGCAAATAGACAATGAAAAATATTTTTAAAGTATAGAAGAAAAGACCATTGAACCTATATCTTTGAATCCAACCAAACTGTCATTCAAATATTGTAGCATAACAAAAGTAGCCTTAAGCATACCTGACCTGACATTAAAATTGCTCTTGGAGGAAGCAATCAGATAAAAAGGGCAACCAGGAGGATGACACAAAAAATACAGGAGTAAAAGATGGTCAAACACCTGGATAAAGTTTATTGTAGGAATTTTCTTAAGGCTAGAAAAAAAAAAAAAGAGAAAATACATCCATAAGAACCCAGAACAGGGGCTTCCCTGGTGGCGCAGTGGTTGAGAGTCCACCTGCCGATACAGGGGACACGGGTTCGTGCCCCAGTCCAGGAAGAACCCACATGCTGTGGAGCTGCTGGGTCCGTGAGCCATGGCCACTGAGCCTGTGCGTCCGGAACCTGTGCTCCGCAACAGGAGAGGCCACAACAGTGAGAGGCCCACGTACCGCAAAAAAAAAGAACCCAGAACAGACTAGAGCATAGAAAATCTGATGCCTGCGGGTTGAACAGCCCCTAGACTATAAAGATTGTCTGTGGCCCAGAAAGTCAGGGCAATTTGTAAAGTTACATATCTGGAGAAAGAGTTCTTGACATTAGAGGTGTGGTGGAACAGGAGGGAAGGACCTGGGTGATTTTAAAGGAAGGGTCGTATGTGTATATATTTTCCTTGGGACACAATCCATAGAGTTTACAAGAATTCCAAGTTTAAGAACCACTGTTTATTTTAGATAAATATTATGAGATAAAAAATTTTAATATATGAAGGATAAATTAACTAAGTTCAGCTAGAACAAGAATGAGACCCCAAGTGAGATGAGTAATCCCTGTGTATAATATCAAGTTCCATTGCTGCCTATACTCAATCTCCTGTGTTTCCTTTATACACTGAGTCAACTAAATCCATTTCTCATTTCTCCTGCAAATGAATATCA